TACCGCACGCCACCATATCCCACCGTCCACCTCGTCGCCAACTCTCCCGTACTTACCCTTCTCTCGCCTCGCTTCCTTGTGTCGTCGCCCATCGCATCGCCTTGCGTCTTCGCCCACCGCGTCGCCTAGCTCTCTGCTAGATCCCGCGTCGCACCGCTTCGTCTCCGAAATTGCTCCGGCGGGGGCACAATGCTCCCGGTCGCGCTGCACCCCCGTCGAGGTCTATGATTCCTAATATCCATGTTATCCCCTTTTTTGTACTGAAGGGTGAGAATCCCTTATCCACTAGTAAGTGAGCAAGTCCCTTGCCATCTGTGTTGGGGATGGTGCAACGTTTATTTTCATAGATTTCGAAAAAGCATATGATCACGTCGATTGGGTTTTCCTTGACAGGTGCCTACAAAGAATGAATTTTTGCCCGAGCTTTCAAAAATGGGTGTATATCAAACGCAAAAACCCGAGTCCAGGTGAATGGTTTGCTGGTAACAGAAATAAGGCTACAAAGTTCGGCCAGGCAAGGAAACCCGATTGCCCCTTTCCTCTTCATCATAATAATGGAAGTCCCGCCCTCCAACCTCCGCTGCTATAGAGATATCGAAAAAATCCAGACTGCAGGCATACCAGAGGGGGCCATCCGAGTCTGCTCCCTGTTTGCGGACGACTTTACAATAATGGTGGAAGCGTCGACGCACAACATGGAGGACATCCAAAGGCTCATAGACTGTTTTCGCCTCTTGTCAGATATGGCAGTCAATTGGGGGCATAAAAGATTGGGTTGGTGGCTATACCAATAAGGTGGTCGACAACCCGAAATACGTTGTATTACATGGATGACCTCCAAAGCAGCGATCCAAATTCTTTGGGTCAAGATGACAACCCAGGGCCGCCCTGCTGAAAACAATGATTGGCTCACGTCCCCGACTGTGACCAAGCTCTCCCAATGGAACCACAAACACACATCACTTTTCGGACGGGCCTTGGTGATAAATAATGTGGTGTTGGCCACATTATGGTATAAATCTGGGTAGTACCCCGTACGAACCCAAAATCGCACGTACGCGTACGTTAAAAA